ATATGGTAATTATAAGAAATCTAGCACCTGAAACAAAAACTAAAAAAAGGAGAGCGTTATAAACGGGAAAGTTGGAGAAAATATGTCATGCTTTAAAATACACAATAGATGTTATGCGCTTAGACTAACATATATAGACTGATTAAGGCAAAAAATGATTCCATTCGAAGCCAAAATAGTTTGTTCGTATACATGCTTATTGCATTAGTATATAGCGTTAGCCATTATATTATCCTATAATACAGAAAATATTATTTATATTTATAAAAGTATTATCTAATTTATTTAAAAATATTTAAAATTAATTATACAACGCCATCTACCTTTAAAGTAATTGTATTGTGGCTAATAATTGCGCCGAATAATATTTCTCTTTTTATCAATAAAAACTTTGTCTTATATAAAATTATTTAAAAAGGAAAATTTAAAAATGTGATTAGCGAAGATGATATACAATATTTTTAAAATTAATGATTTAAAAACTAGATGGCTTCATATCTTTAATAACTTTTTAACATAATTTGTGATAAATTATAGGTAAGTTTAGAAAAATTTGCAAAACTAAACATTTGAAATATAAGATAATATAATGGATTAAACATGATTAAGCATATATAAGTGTAAACTAAAAATGCTTCAAATGGAATCGCTTTATGCCTTAATGCTCAATAATCAGTGTACGTATATTGAAATTTTTTAAATATCATTTCAAAAAAATAAAAATTGTAACAATAACAGGCAGTTCTATACTTCCCTAAGCTAATGACGATATATAATATACACTTCATATATTAATTACATGAGGTAAAAGTTGATTTATTAGTTTTTAATGATCATCGTTCACTTAAGTTAAATAAATATAAAGTTGACTCAAATTTCATAATAATTTTTTAACAAAAATAATGTTTGATAAGATAACGAGAATAAAAAGAAAATATTTTTATTTTCGAAAGGGGATAAAAAGTATTAAGAAAGTATTTTTAAACTTTCTAATACAATTAAAATGATAACTTCATAAATATTTTCAATTGTTTTTGAAAATCATATTTGTGTCCAATTTATATTTTTTTTAAATCGTAACTTCTTTATTTTCTTTAAAATTTTTCATATTTATAAAATTAATAAAATAATTATAACACTTGATATAATCACTTTCGATTCAAATTACCAAAAATAGCAAAAAAATTTATTCTTTTAAATTAAATAATATTTTTGTATCAAGGCTAGCTACAATTTATTGCTTGATCGGTAAAAATATCATTATAACAAAATGATTCATAATTGTATTTTTTTGAATGGACGAAAGTGAATATTTTTATATTATTGTTATTACATCTACCTTTTTTGAGATTATAATTTTGTAAAGATAATTAATACTATTTATATTTGATTCAGTTGGATTTAGAAATTATAATTAAATTCGAGATCCATGATATTACTTACTTTTATAGTTATACCTTATAATTTTTCTTTTATATTTTATATTATAATACCTATATTATATAAATAATTAATAAACGTGTTTATAATTATTATTTAATATGTAATTTTTCTAGATGTTTTCAAATTTATCGTATTACTGGATAACAAAAGTAATCGAAATAACTATAGCCATCTAGTATAAATAAATAAAACTTGCATGTAGGGGTATTATGATCTTAAATTTATATATAAAAAAACCTTATATTATATCGTATAAGGTCAATTCAACGAAACTCTTATCGCAAAACACTTTTTAACGAAACTTTGATTGCGAAGGAATTTTCATAAAATTTAAAATATTTTGAATCTGAAAAAAATAACTTTTAATATATTGGACGTTGATTTTAAAATTGCATTAAGATAGACTCGAGGTTTACCGTTATTTTTATTTATTATAACTGGTTTTGTTTAATAACTAGAAAAATCTGAGAATTAGTAAGTACTAATCAATTATTGAATATTCGCTCATCCAGATATTCCGTGCTAAATTTTTCTTCTGGCATGATACAAATCTTGACAAAAAAAAATTTGACATCGCGCTTAACGTTATGTCATAGTTTTCATACTGTTTATTAGTGATCTACATCGGGCCTAATTTTTCAAACCCGGCCCGGCCCGAATTTTTTTTACAAAAGTTTTGCCGGCCCGAACCTGAAATTTTTTTAAAAAATTTTTCCAGCCGGGTTTGAACCCGAAATTTTTTTAAAATAAATTACCGGCCCGACCAGCCTGAATTTATATAAATATAGAAATTAATTTTTATAATTACTCAAAATAAAAGCCATATGTTATATGACATCTAGTTTCTATGAATAAAATCAAATATTTTTATTTTACATAAAAAATTCAATATAAAAATTGATAAATTTAGATATATTTAAAAAAATTTACATAACCCGACCCGGCTCAAATTTTTTTTAAAAATATTAAACCCGACCCGGCCCGAACCCGATTTTTTTAAAAAAATATAGGCCCGAGTCAGGGCGGGTTGGAATCGGGCCGGGCCTACTTTTGCAGATCTCTACTGTTTATAACTCAGTTTCTTTTTTTGTGATTATAAAAATTGATTGAGAAATTAATAAGCACTAGTCAGGAACTAAATATTAGCAGAAACGACATATTTAGTTCTTCCATATTTTTCTTTCATTCTAGCATCTTTTGCCAATTGTTTCTCCTATTGCTAATAACTTTTTTCTATACTGTCTACCAAACGGGTTAAAATAATATGCAATTCAGCATTAAGTATTGATAAAATTTTCATAAATACTTTCAGTCATTCTTTAATCGTAAGGTTGGACAAAAATTTATTATTAATAAATGATTTAAACTTGAAATAACTTTTAGAATTAGGGCTTCCAATTGTTCAGACAAATTTAACGGAGATGATCCAAAGATATTGTAAGTTTTAAAGTCAAAATAAAAATAACCATGGAGAAATTAATAATATCTAACCATAATTTTTCAAAAATAGATCGGCCAAACGCCAAATAAGGGTTTGAAGCAAAGTCCCCAAAAATAAATTCATAATCCCACCCCCTCCTCTTGATGAATCCTGGCTATGCCACTGATTAAATAATAATTTTATAATAAAGGTCACTTCCTGGAGAAGTCACTTTTTATAAGAGATTCATATATGTAGTAAATTGTAATTACAGTGGACATTAAATTAAGCTTAAAGTAAAGTGTAATGTGATATATTTAAATTTACCAAAAAAATTAATCTTTTTTTTAATCAATTCATAAATTTCCAAGATTACAAAAACAATTTATTTTTTTTAATTTTCAGAAAAATATAAATTAAGATATTAATCTTGCTTCTATGAATTGTTTTTTTGTGTGCGAATATACTTTTATTATGATTGATTGGCCAGTTTTCTAATTGCGAATAAAATTTATTATATGAGGGGAAAAAATTGAGATATTCTTTTATCGAATTCATATTTTGGCATTATATAATATTCGTGTATTTAGCGTAATTGTAAAAAATTAGTCTTATTACTTAAAAAAAATTATATTTTATTTAGTGTAATCATGCTAACTTCAATATTTTGGATATTATCCATAATATTATACTATATATTATATACAATACAATATTAATTCAAGATCATGTATTTATTAAAATAATTGTTATACTTTCCTACAAAAAGAATATAAAATAATTTATTATATTATATATTAATCCCTAGAGTTAGGTGTTTTTTTTTGAAAAATTATATATAAATATTCAAGAAAAAAAAATAATATCAATCATATATATTTTGTTGTTTCCCGAGCGAATTGATATTAAAGAAAATGAATGAATGTTTTTTTTATTAAACATAAATTCTTAAAAAACATGCACTAGTGTTTTTAATAAACTAATTACTCGGAAGAACTATAACGGTAACCATTTTGAAAAGGTAACTCTTACCCGCAGAACTAGTTAACTTTTATTTATATGGAAAGTAAAAAATTAAATATATTTAACTTTTTGGTTAATGCGAAATCCTTTATTTTAAATTGAATTGTACTTCAACTTATTTTAGGAGCTTTTAAAATAAGAGAATTATCAGAAATAAATTCAATTTTGAAAAAAGTTTTATTTTCACCATGGCCTAAACCAAGAAACAAACGGGATTTCATATAATTGTGGAATGTCACTTTTTCCAAACTTCTATTTTAAAATATTTTAAATCAGCAATAACAATAAAATGGAAATATTTTCTATATGTGACTAATATTTATTTATGGAAAGCCTTAAAAAAATACATATGATATATATTATATAAGCCAATCTTTCCAATTTAATACAAGTTTAAATCACATTTGAAAAACAACCCAGCAAGAACTATATGTTAATTTTAATATTAAATTCAAAATAATTAACACGGTTTTTAACTTACTAAATGGTTTAGGGCAAGATCGAAAAAAAAAGGAAAAACGAATATATCCAATATAATTAATTGTATAATCAAAAACGATGTGAAGAGTCAAATTGTGTCAAGTCAATAGTTTTTGTTATTCAAAAAGAACTAACTGCTATTGAGAATGTTGAAAATGTTAGGAGAGCCTGTTATCTACTCTATTATGAGATAATCAGTTATCAATAACGATTTCAAGTATAATGTTTCTTAATCCTTCTGTAGCATTTTTATTTAATATTGGGAAATAGAATCACTAAAATAATCTGCAAATGAATAAAAGTTTCATTATCAGATATTTTACTACCTAATCAATTAGAATTTGGGATTAAAGGAGGCTACGAAACTGCAAGCCATTTAGCTAGGATTACCTGGAAAACTTCAGATCATTTATTTATCAAACTAGACATAACAAATGTCTTCAATTCATTTAACCGCAACATTGTGATTCAAAGTTATTCGAAAAATATCCATAATTTTTTAAATTACATCTGATCAAGCTATGGTGTACCATCAATACTATCGTAAAGTGCACATTACAATTTAGTCCGCACAGAACTTTAGCAGAGTGATGATTCTCTAGTACCCTTGTTCTGTTTAGCAATAAACGAAATAATTCAGGACATGAAGAATAATTGTAACCTTAATGAACTTTAGATATTTCGATAACGTTACACGCTCAGGCCCTAACGAGGTAAATAAATCCCTTAACATTATCAACCTTAGATTTAGCCAGTGGTGTAGACAAGGGGGGAGGGGTGTATATGGAAAATATTATTAGATTAAATTTTTGTTTATATAATACTTTTATATTGATATCTAGACGAATTTGCTTTCATTTCTTTTAAAATAATGGTTTTCTCAGAAATTTTTTTTAAAAAAGTGCTTGAAAAAATCTTTAAAATATCTAAAAATAAACAATATATGGACATTTAATAATCATTTTCACAAAAAGAATTTGTTATAAATTATATTTAAAAAAAATTAAATAACGGGTCGATTCCCAGAGACGCTATGATTTGTATAGGATTGGCGTTTGACCTATAATTGTAAAAGCACACTTAATGAACAATACTTATATAAAAAATAGCTCTTTCAATTTTAGCGTAACCAATCCATCTTATTTTGGTATTACATTTTCAAAGGTGTCACAAGTCTATTTGACTACCTTTTTAGGCTACTACTAAATTATAAGTGTATCAGAGATACTGCCTGAGACAACGGGTCTCATTTCTAATTTTTTTATTAATTACTTTAGTACTTCTAGATTCTTCTTTCTATCTTGAATCTTGATATAAATGTTAATAATTTTCGTATTTTATTAATAACTTATTATATGTATATATGTTTACTACTCAATGGATTTATGATTAAACTAAAATGTATATCATTTAAACACTATACATTTAACCCAAGCTTTAGAATTAGTGGTATAAAAAATTTGACACACTTTTTGTTTAGGACTACGTCTTAATATGATTCCGGTTCTTAATAAATTTTTGAAAATATAACTTGATTCAAAATATAATAAGATTTAAACTATTTTATGTCTATATCTATAAATTAACCGAAAAGAACAAATAATATCTATAAAGATCCTAAGATTCAAAGATATTTTGAATCCTCAAAAATAGGACCCTATAATATATTTAGAGGTAATTGATTTTTGAATTGCAACTTAAAATTCTATAGTTAAAACTCAACTTAAGGCGCGCCGTTATTTTTATTTGATTGTTTTTGAGTGGAAAAACTGATTGAAGAATTAGTAAGTATACTAATCAGTCATTCCAAATTGGCTCATCTAGATATTCGATGTTTCTATAAATTTCCTTCTATGATAATGTTTCAAAAAATTTTATAGATGCTTTGCATAATTTCAAACATATTTGGAATATTTTTCTAAGACCGTGTCGTAAATATATTGAAAAAAACCTCAAAATTTATAAATTTTTGAAAATTAATAACTATGAAACATATCCGAAATTTTCCATTAATTTTTAAGTTATGTAAAAATTAAAATAAACAACGAAAAGAAACATAAACTAGTTTTTTCATAAAAATACACAAATTTTCAATTTTAAACAAAATTTTATTTAAATTTATTTATTTTTATAATTTAAAAAAATAATATAAATTTTTGTATAAATGACGAAAAATGGTTTGAGCACTATTTTATTTTAACATTAAAAATAGCTTATGTTTTATTTATTTATATTTTTGATATTTAGGACACAGCCCAATATATAAAAATTATTATATATTTTAAATTTACCCGTTAGTAATTCTAATAAAATAAAATTTTCTTCTATAACAAGAATAATAGCATACCTTAGAAGTAGTGTTGTTAAATGGCTATATTTGAGCCTATTTTTATAACAGATAATTTAATATTTTATCCAGAAAAATATTGCCAGCCTTGAGATTTCGCCAATAGATGGCCAAGCCTATATACCATCTGTGATCCAAATTTTTAGGCTTGTGTATTCTGGATGAAATACTGAATAAGCCGTATTTAAAAATAGGCTCAAATTGAACCATTTAACAACACTACTGAGAAATACTACCTCTGAAAATTAAATAACACCAAGCACTAATGAAATCATTGAAAAAGGAGCTCAATTTCATCAGATTTTAAATTTATAATATGCTTCATAATATTCTTCCCCATTTTTAAAAAAGCCATATTTTTTCCATGAATACTTTGTAAGTTTATTCACATGCAATAATTCTTAAGAATATTTTTATGCATCTATATTTTTAAAATATAATTTAAAGTTATATATTGAATTTTAAATGCTTAATAGAATTTATATTTTTTTATAAAGCTTCTTTTTGAAACAATTATTTTATAATGCTTCATACGTCGATTATATATGTTAGCGTCAATGTGTTCTTCCTGGCAATATGTTATTTTTCAACATTATTATTTTTTGAGTGCGTTTTTTAAATTTAAAATCCAATTTTATTGAAATATTCCAGCATGCTTAGAATGCCTATCTTATGAACTGCAGACAATTTTGCCGTAAACCTTTGAGTCATTTATAATTTATATAAAAAATTTATGGAAAAACTAATACAAATTTTCATGACAAAATTGTCTGAAATTTATGGGGTAGTTATTCCAAAACATGATGAAATAGATTTCCGGTAAAATAAGACACATTTAATGTTTTATCATGAATTTATATTTAAATTTGTATATTATAAATTTTCAATATTTTATAGTCACTACTCTTAATAAATTTATTAAACTTAAGATATTCCTAAGTAACTTTTAGAATAATTTTTTTTAAATTCAATTATCCCCCCCCCCTGTAAATTCCTGCCTACATGCCTGAACATAACTTTTCTAACCATTAACTGCCTCAAATGAATAAATACATCAGGGACTGAAATATGATGTATGGTAGAGATCTGCAAAGTGGCCTGGCCGGGCCTAATATTTTAAAAAGAAATTCGGGCCGGGTCGGGTCAGACCTTGTAAATTTTTTTAAATATATTTAAATTTATCAATTTTATGTCAAATTTTTTATGTAAAATAAAAATATTTGATTTTATTTATTGAAACTAAACGACATATAACATATGTCTTTTATTTTGAATAATTATAAAAATTAATTTCTATATTTAAATAAATTCGGACCGGGCCGGGTAAAAAAAATTCGGGTTCGGGCCGGCAAAACTTTTTTAAAAAATTTCGAATTCGGGCCGGGCCGGCAAAACATTTTTAAAAAAATTTCGAGATGAGCCGGGCTTGAAAAATTAGGCCCGATGCAGATCACTAATGTATGGCTGAATTTACCATAAATCTAGACTTAGATAGGAAAAAATTAAAATAAAAGAATTGATAATATGTAATAATTTAATAAACCATAAAACACTATTTAAACCAATTAGGGTTGACAAGGTGGACATAAGCATTTATATTTTTAAATAGCTAAACGGGCGTGTGCAAAAAAAAATGGGTCGCCAAAGGATTCCAGATTCATACAAACAAAAAGCGAGAAAATTTAACATAATTTTAAAAAAAATTTTATAACAAATAATATTAAATTTTTCCCCGATGATTATTTCTTTTAATTAAATGAATATATCTAATCACAATAGTAAAATAAAGGGATCGTATATTATTTTTTTAATAAATTAATTTATATTATTTAAAAAATCAGTATACATATTTTTATTCATATTTTATATTATTGGTTTTTTTTAATATATATTCCTTAAAATCTTTACAGATTATTAAAATTATGTTTGATCATTAATTTCACTTCTAAAGCTGATAAAATCTTTCCGCCAGAAATTTTTTATTAACTAAATATGCGCAATTAGCATTTGAATGTGGTAACGAAAATATAAAATTGCATATTTTTTCAAAATTTGGCGCTATGTTCTCTGAAAAAAAAGTACCCATTTGCTTTCATGAGTCAAATTAGATATAATTATAATTTTGCTCTATAAATGTATTTAAATCAATAAATTCCTGAAATGATTCATTTAATTCGATATCTTTTATATTAAAATGGATTATTATTAATTCAACTTCCTCGATTTTGAATTTATTACCGAGCTTTATAATATTTAGATTTTCCAATTTATTATTTGTATAATGATTGTTTTAATGAATTTATTAGCTTCATTTTGAAATATGCTATTTTATCATGATCATCACATTTTATATGATTTTTTCATACAACCGAGCCATAAAGTTATTGATAACTTGGGCTTTTAAAGTTGTAACTAATTTATTCATTAATAAAACATCACCATTGAAATTAAATTTTTGGATTGCAATTTTTTAACCACATTAGCTAAATAATTTTTATAAATTCTTTCGAGAGCCGGTATTAATGATAGCCATCTTGATGGTACAATTCGATCTGCTGAATTCGGTATAACATTTCATAGAAAATATTTCTATTTATAATGAAGCATGTTCTGATTGTGAATTGAATGGCACGGGCAAATGGGGATTTTCATTCAAAACTACCCTCATTACACTTTGCCTTCTTTCGAAATTCATATATCGTCACAAAAAGCTGTTACATTTGATAGGGAAAGCTTAAAATTTTCAAGGCTCTGCACAAGAATCAACGCAATATCCTTCGCGAGTTTGATTAAATTTTTTTTAGAAGTTTACTTTGAAACGCCTTGTAATTTATTAAAATAGCCAGCATTATTGGTTCGTATTTCCATTATTTGATGCATCAGTTAATAGAGAATAGAAAAATTTTCTTTCCTATGATTTGTTTCTTAGTTTCAGGACCTAGGACATTTGATACTATTTTTGAGGCTTTGCTATTCTACATTTTATGCTTATAACTATTTTTGAATCAGGAAAGAGTTAGGCAATAAGTTTGTAGTGCAATCTGTAGATAAATAACTAAGCGAATGTTTTATCATGTGATAGCTGAATGTCATTTTGGATATTCAGTATTATCATCACATAAATTATAGTTTTTGAAGTATAATTGGATATTATTTGATATCCTTACTTTTTTAATTAGAAATACGTTTTTGTCTTGTTGAATGTTTTTTTAGATCATGGACTCTTCCATGGCTGATATTAAATTTTGCATTGATATCATTTAAGCTGCTACTTTCTTTATTTTCTCTGACCCATGAATAAATAGAATTCTAAGTATTTTGATATTTCTCTTTTCATTTTTTTTTGGATGTTAAACTTGTCTTTAAACTTTAATTTATATATAATTTAAATTAATGGAATGAAATTGGGAAAAAATGAAATATCATAAGAAAACGATATTTAATTAATCATAAATATTAGTAGCCTATACAAAACTGTTAAAGTTTTAAATAATAATTACCTACTTCAATATCATATTACATAGATTGATTTCTAAAAATTATATAAAATACTTACTTCACATTTACATAAAAATCATTTTTATCATCAGAATCAGAGGAAGTAATTATTATATGATATGATTTATCATAACAATTTATCTTAAAATTAAAAGATTATATTATTATACTTTAAATTGGAAAGTTTTGGAATCGAAAATTATTTTCTTTTTTTTAGAATGCTTTGTTTTTTCCTTTCTCAAAATATGGGTAAAATATTTATAAAAGTAAGATGATTTTTTAAAGATATGATTGAATTAAAATGGTAGCTTAAGTTTTTGGTTAAACTATTTATAAATTTTGTACTTTAAATAATTTTTAAAAAAAACGGGAGAATTTTTTTTTAAATCGAGAGAAGGCGTAAATCAATAGAGGGCGTGTTTCGGCGTAAAAATAAAAATTTGGAGATTACACCAGAAGCGGGAGATCTGGTAACCCTAGTCGTAGCTCTCTAACACAAATATTTTATATTAAGATAGAAATCATACGAAATAAATCATGTTAATAATTGTTCATTTTTTGAAATTATGATGTTTAAATTTAAGTAGAAGAAAAATAATAAATACTCATTTATTTATTTATTTATTTATACCTTAATTATTTTAAAAAAATTAACTATAAATGTAATTTCTATTTTGGTCATTTAACATTTTTCGCATCAATCTAGCTTAATAACTAAAACGTTTTTTATTATATGGATTTTAAGAATATTCTAATATAATTATATTCCATATTTAAAATAAATCACGTTATCTATTATTTAATAAACTTATTAAGATTCTATAAGGATACGTTCAAAATGTTCAGCACAATAGATACAACGGTGCTAGATTCGCCCCAAATATCAAATTACTTTGATCTTTTAAATATATCATTATTGACATCTAATAAACCCACAGACCGTTTAAATGAAACTAAACGTCAAGAATTAATCTTACTAGACACGGTGAGGTTTGTGGTTCAAAAAATATGCTTACCTATAATATTAGCCATAGGAATTCCAGGGAATTTATGTACTCTCGTAATATTATCGCGTAACCATATGAAATCATCTACAAACTTTTATTTGGCCTCTCTAGCATTTTCAGATATGTTTTATTTATTGTTTCATTTCCTTCTCAGCTTTCAACATTATGATAAAATAAGGGGTAATTATTGGTATATAAAGTATTTGATTGGTGGCTACCCACTCACCGATATCTTTAGTAATGCATCGGTATGGATAGTTGTTTCCTTTACTACAGAACGATTTATAGTCATAGGTAACCCTATCAAGGGTAAAATTTTCTGCACGCTTAAGAGAGCTAAATACGTAGTTCTGGTAGTTTTTCTGATATCAATCGTTGGAACTATTCCCACATTTTTTGAAAGAAAAGTAGATAGTGTCTATGAAAATGAGGATTCAATGCAATCATCAATCATTAATACAACTTCTTTTCCAAGTCAAAATGATCTTGTTTATATGACAGTCACTAAAAATACTTTAAAACTTTTACATACCATACATGAAAGTATCTTCAAAGGAGCGACCGATACAACTCGCATCAAAAAATATTATCTATACGAGACTTCTCTTTATTTAAACGAAAATTATCAGAGGGGGTATTTTTGGTTTACCAGTGTATTTTTTTCTTTCTTTCCTCTTACCCTTATTCTTATATTTAATTCTTTATTAATTATTTGGATTCGCAAATCGTCCGTTATCCATAGAGAGATGAATAAGACTTGGGATCGCAATAGTAGGGATTCTCCCAGGAAAAGAAATATCGCACAATACCAAGAGACACGAATAACTTATATGCTCATTGTAGTAGTTATAATCTTCACATTTTGTCAATTACCCTCGGCTATACTTTTGTTAGCTTTCCTTCTTAAACCCGACAAACAAGAATTAGTTAGATGGAGACTGTGCAATAATTTTGCTAATTTACTTATGGCAATTCATGCTTGTCTGAATTTCGTTTTATATTGCTTACTGAGTAAAAAATTTAGGGCGACGTTCTCCAGAATTTTTTTACCTTGCTTTAAGCTATATCAACAAGATGCTTGGATAGCCCTTTTTTCAACGGGTACGCGTATAATTGATAGTAAATTCTCCAGCAGAAAAGCAAATTCCAAAATAAAGGGTCGTATTTACGATTTAAGTTCAAGAAATAGCATCTCCACAGCTTACTTCATATCCGAATGCGAAGATTCCAATGAACAATCGGTCCAATTAAAAGATTTTAAGAGTAATGAATATATCGATAAACTTATCCCTTGTCAAAGATATTTAGTATACGGGAATAAAGGTCTGAATTGACAGTTCAAGATAAATTCCTTATGGGACAAGAAATGGAAACACCATAGACGCAAATGCATACTAGCCAAAAACGGAACTAACATGAGTAATACCAATAAATACATTTAAAAGTGATCAATAGAAAATACATAAAAAATATATTGGACTTTCTGATGTATATATATATATTCACACATCATATATTCTTTCCAAATATACTGTTACAATAATTATAAAGTTTTGGTATTTTATATATAACAATTTGAAAACAAAATTTTGATCGTCAATACAATATTATAATTTTAATATGAAGTTGATTTTACCCAATGTAATAATGATACAAAAATAAATTATTTATAAATGAATAAATTTATTTATAATCTAGTAATTGAGCATTATACCAATTGAATAATAAAATTTTTATATATAAATATCCAACCTTTATTTATCGTATAACTAATCAAAATAATGAGCTCAGTTTTAATCTGAAAAATAATTACTGGGTAAGTATTTTTAATATATAATAAATTGGTTAATTTTAAGTAGAATAAAATTGTTTTGATATAATATGAAGGGTATAATGAAAAATCAAAAAGAATATTTTATTATAAACAGAAAAATATAGGAGTATAACAAATGAATTATAAAAATATTCATGCAACATAGGAAAAAATTATTTACTATACCTTTTATTATACATTTCTTTATGTTAGCCCCATATCCTCTATAAATAGTAGGGAAATTAATCAGCTCCTCCCTCCCGATCCGCGTTTTTAAATATTTGGAAATAAAACTAAAAAACGATTGAAAAACAGCCAAATTTTTTATAACTATGACCAGCCCGGGTGTTTTTTAAATATTCATACCAACCCTATATGTGTGCTACTAGATGTTTCTAATCTTTCTATAATGTGATTTGCAAAATGAACAAGGGGAAATTTACATAAGGTGGTTTATGAAAGTCATTAATTATATTTGCTATGGTCATTTGGCGTAAAGATAAGTATACGTAATTTATCTGAATTATCAAAAAATAAAATTTTAATCAATTATTTTGTAAATAAATTCTTCGATATAATGATCACAAAAAAATTTTAATTTTGTTTTGAATGGTTATGATTTTGTGACATTTTTTTACTTTTATGATTGATTGACGGATTATTTTCTTAATTATGATTTAAAAATGAATTGAAACTTTTATTTTTTTGAAGTCTTAATATAGAGATCTTTTCAGTGGCTTTGCAAGCTAAGTAAAGAAGTTTTTTGTCTTTCTGGTAAAAAAAAGAGTAAAATATTATTATAATCGAAGAATATTTTATTTTTATAAAAAAATTTTAAATATAATATTTTGTCATATTTAATATAAATGTATAAAGCTGTGTGTGACAATTATCACTTTGTCTAATATATTTTTTAAGTTTATTATACAAATAAATTAATTCGACAAATTATTATCCTTTGTTTGGAAATAAAAAAATGCCGGAAAGAAAAAACGTTCTGTCTAGTGGCCTTAGTCATTAAAATTTTTTTTTTAATTTAATGCAATGTAAATCATAAGGTGTAGGCTGTGTCCTAGGTAAACTTATTATTTTAATAGCCAGTTTTTAAGTATCGACTAAATAGCCAAAAAAATAAGAAGAAATTAAGATTTTAAGCATGCCACTCATTAAATTTTCTAAATAACTATTGTACATTTAAATATATAATGGGAGATAAATATTTATTTTTTTATTTTTAAATTATATTTTAGATGAGCAAACATACAAATATAAAAGTAATAGCCAGTTTTTTTTGATTACATACTGTATATTTTATAGATATAAGTTGCATAAATGATGCAATCGTATAGAATATAATTATAGATTGATTAAAATATTCATCTTATATATTTATAAAATTCTGTGTCATCATTTAATTCATTAAATAAATTTTGAAACCATACCTTGACACTTCACGAATATCCTTTAACGCCCCCATTTCCTCGCTTATCGAGTTGAATGATCCACTTTTAGCTTCGGCCAAACAATCTTGGCGTACTCTACTTTTTCAGGGTTCCTATCACCTTGTTTCCAGCTATTTGTAGGGCTTCCTAGTTACCATGTTCTAATGTGCATTTGAAAAACTTTGTTTGTGTCCCGATCTAACTAATCTTCAACTACTCAGAAGAGTAAATATCCTAACGGCCATGAATGGCTAGCTAGGCGCGATCTCGAGTAGGAAAAAGGAAATGTTACTCATAAACGATAAGTTTTTCAAATTGCTTTTGGCCATAGGCTATGTTGTCTTATTCCGTCTGTTGACATTTGTGCTGCCTGCAATAAGCAAGTTGATTCATTTTCTAGGTATTGTTTTTCTTGCCTTAAAGTCAGACGCTGTTTTTTGCGATGACAATCTAAATAGGTTGATCGGCGAATTTTTGATTTCGGCCGGTTTTCCCGATAGTTAGGAGCCGTTAGGAATTTTAAATAAAGTTGATAAGCGTCCCGATTATATGTCATTAACATCTTGGTTCGGCAGCAAAAGACTTATCTGGGATGTGTGATGTGTTATCTCAATTCCAGCTAATAGAAACTATGACCTCTTAGGAACTGCAAGAAATTAAAAAATGCAATAAATACAGGTCCCTCTATAATTCTTTTATTTTTATCCCTCTAATCTTTAGTAGTGAAGGTCACGGTCCGGTCTTTGGTCCACACTGGACCGATACCCTCGGACCGGACCGAACCACGGTCTTTTAAAAAAGATCAATCCATACCGTGGTCCTAAATAAAAAACATATTTTTTTTAACCTAATTTAATTTGTTTTATCATTTTATTAAATAAGTAATAAATAATATAAAATATAAAATTAATTATGAATAATATAATAGTTAATACAAATATTTAATTAAAATAAATGCTAATGTCTTTGTTTGTAGAAATGCCATGGAAGGAATTAGAAGAGGGACTTAATGGAGGCGGTAGATCTATTCCATTCTTTAACCAAGAGCCCATACATCAAAGCTTGTATTGTTTTGTTTGAAAGCCTGTTCCTTTTTTTAGTGACAAGATCTCCTACTTTCGAAAATATTTGTTCACAGGGGACAGATGTTGCTTGAATTGCTAAAAAATTTCTAGCTGCTAATGAGAGGACTAGAAATCTATATAATAAACTATATTGACTATTTATAAAATATAAAAGACCTTTCACTAAAAATAGAACTATATAAATAATAACCAAAATATTTTAATAATAATACTGCTTATTTTGATTAATTTATTGCTTAAAAAATTATAAACAATTATTTTGTTACTTGTTGCTGACGATACATTAAATTTGGTACTGCAGTGAACACATAATGTTTTTTATTGGGACTATAAGTAAAATGTTTCTTGGACAAACTTATGGTTTTCATATGGTAAAATAAAAATTAACAAAACTTAAAATAACTCCTCTAGAAAAATATCATAAAATAAAATATACAAAAAAATTATATTAATTGAATAGTAAAGCAAACTAAAATATTAATAAAAGACCGGTCCGGACCACGGTCCTCAAAAAAATATCTCTCCGACAATCTGTGCTGTCCCGGTCTAAGACCGATAGGACCGGACAGTTGACCTTCACTAATCTTTAGTATTTTGGGAAACCCCCGTTCCCAATTCCTAAAATTTTTTACAATTGGGTAAGAAAATTTCAATAAGAGAGTCGCTTTTCTTCAAACAAAAAACTCAAATTGAAATCCTAAAAAGGAATTACAAGTGTTACCTTGAAACACTCCTTTTCCCTTTTAGTTCCTTTAACACACATGACAAAATTTACATAAATTAAGGTACTTAGTATTTATTTTATTTTTCTATTTTTTTTACCGTAATTTTATTTACAATTACATATCTTATATCTTTGCAATTATTTTCGTGCAATAAAGTTATTATACATGATATATTTCTTAATTAATGTATGCTAATATTTATAAGTTTGATATAAATTAATTTTATTTTTTTCCTGGTAGTATATAATGTGAATTTTAACATTTTGAATCATTTATAGCGACCATTTTAAAAAAAACTTTTAAAGACTTTATTTCTGCTCGAATTGTATTTTTCAGATATATTTATAATAAAATTTAGAATCAATTTTAATTTAAATCAGTTTTGCATAAATTTTTAAATATTAAAAGTTAATACCTTATATTATATAAATAATTTATTTATAACTTTATAGATACTATATTACTTGAAATTTTTTTTTTATAAAAATATGATATTATTATACATAGATAGCACTAATTTATTCACATGCATTAATAATTTATTAAATTAAAATAATTTTATCATTGTATTATAATTTAACATTTTACATGTAATCCACCATGCACATATATGTACTAATTAGATAGTTTTAAAAATTTTAATTTAATTTTGGTATTTTGTATCCTTTTTTAAATTAAAAAAATTGTTTATTGGCGATTCAAATAATTCATTTATTTAGACCTTTTTTGAGAATCAGCACAGGCTATTAGAACATAGATAGCGATAACAGTTCCATAAAATTATTTTTTCTATTTAAGTTATGAAAAAAGCATCACTAGAGAAAAATTAAAGTATTATTTTAATATAAAAAAATAAAATAATTTAAATAAAAAGCAGACGATAAAATTGCAAATTGTAAATAGGCGATAATATTTATAATGTAAACTTGAAATATACAATTTTTTTTAATATTTGGCAATGCTCGATTTTTATTTCATATCTTCTAACCTCATGAGCTAGACTGATCTAGTATGACCATTAGTCTATCTTTTTTCAATTTACAAAAAAAAAATTTTTTTAATCTTGAATATTATAAATAAAAATAAGTGAAAAAATTTCAACAAAATAAAATAGGAATGTCATGTCGGTATAACACCTTTGTGACTCTTTCCCAACCAATAAAGTATATAAATGAATATACATTTATTTGTACTCAAAAAAAAATACACAAATAACAAAAAATTTTAATTTATATGTAATAAATTATTAGTCCTCTAGATGTACTTTTTTATCCAAAAATAAATAGAAGTGTATTTTATATAATTGATTGTAATGTTTAATTTGGCATATAATATAAATATAATGAATAAAATATTCTTATAAGTTACTTGAAAAATAACGAGTTAAATCGGTCAATGCGCATTTTATCAAATACGAATATATCTCCCATAGATCTAACTCAACACTAATTAAATTTAAAAAAT